CCTGCACAATGAACTGAGAGTGTTGATAACAGAATAACATGAGAGTATAGGGAGGCCACTGCCTAAGCCTGCCTCTCGCCAATGTCTACCAGAACCTGAGTCCTGGATTCATGAATTTGGCGTACAGTCTGTACGTGTTTCCCCTGCCACTGTGCTTCACTGGCCTACACTCGGACATCCCTGGCCGGCAATCCAAGTGCAGATCAAAGTAGCAGGGACAGAGGGGATGGTGCCGGGGTGCTGGGAGAACAAAGAGGGAGGGGAGGAGAAGGAGAGTGTTATCAACCGGTGGGGGGGGCAGGACGTGAGGATGAGGTAGGGGGAGCCGGTGGGGCTGACTGAGGGGGGGCAGGCGGCGGCTGGGAAGGGTTGCGGTCCGGGGCGAGGTGGGCAGGGTGCTGGGCACAGTCCAGTGGTGCAGGGGGAGCMRGTGGGGYTGAAAGAGGGGGGGCAGGCGGCAGCTGGGAAGGGTTGCGGTCGGGGGCGAGGTGGGCAGGGTGCTGGGCACAGTCCACTGGTGACATGAGAACAAAATTAGTAGGTTGGTATAACACCTGGAAGTGGTGCCTCGGCAGCCTTACCCATTGCCTCTCTGTCGACAGCCACGGCTGCCAGTTGAGGGAGTGGGTATTATCGAGGCTACACAGTCTCCCATTGATGTCTGTCCAGGTGGTTTTGAATGTATCCACAATGTGACGAGTTCTGGTCTCGTCCGGTTCTTTCTGCAATTCCGATTTCAACACTCTCCAGGCCTCCTGGGTATTAGCTGTGATAGTGTCAATAATTGTTGCCTTGCTTGCATAAAACCAAAGTCGTGTTGTTTCCTTTCATACGCGCAGCGCATCCTCCAGGCCGCCATCAACACCGCTAGTCTGGCGTACGTGAACAGGTTTGTCATGAAGGGAGTCCAGTCCGATACCCCCTCCGGAGGCCCCCCCAGCAGAAGAGTACAAACATTCCATGGCAAATGCACCCCCGTGAGATAGTGCCAGGCCGCGTCCCACCAGCACCAAAGTTGAGACACCATTGGGCAGTCTAATAGACAATGTTCCAAAGTAGCTCCTTGCCGTGGTGTGGAGTTGGTGCAATACATGCACAGTGGGGAGAGCAGCCCTTTTGCCTCTAAGTCTGTTCTTGTTGTCAGCCAATCCGGAGTTGGCAGACATCTATGTATGATCTGCCATTGCAGCGCCCTGTGGCTGGTCGGCTTGATGTGTGAAAAGGAGGACCACCTAAAGTGTTGGAAGTCCCGTTTATCGAGTGGAGAATCTCTTTCCCAACGCTCTATGCTTGGTTGTGTCACCTGTACACGTTTCCGGACTATCCGATAACCCTTCTTAACCGTGTATTGCCACAAGGCCATTGTCTGAGACTCACCCCATGACCATTCCCATTCCGCCGGGTAAAACGATAAGTCGCGGAGGGGGATGGACGGCTCGTATAGATAGAGGCCATCCTCAGTGTTTCCTACTACTCTGACTCTGGTGAGCTCGCAAGCGGGGCGTTGTGTCCAGGTCATCTTGTCTGTGAATTTTGGGCCAACGGTCCCCTGGCAAGGTCGGGCAGTAGGCGTGTAATGTTGTGCTCCCCTCGTTGTTAGTCTGCACCTCGTACACCGTCATGGGAACCACCCAGTGCTTCGGTTGTATCGTCGGGCCCGTTTTGAGGGCTTGAATCCAGGCCAACGGGATGGCTTCTTGTAGCTCCATCAAGGCAGAGGCCATGTTTTTTATGTGGCCTGTGAGGCTCATCAAAGAGCGGAAAAAAAAAAAAAAAAAAAAAAAAAAAAAAAAACAAAAAAAAAAAAAAAAAAAAAAAAAAAAAAAAAAAAAAAAAAAAAAAAAAAGTACTTCATAAGGGATGCTGAGCCCCATTCTCAGCATGTGCTGCTGCTCGCCACAAATAGATTGGAGCTTGTGTTAAAAAAGAAAAAAAAAACTTAAAAATAAAAATACAAAAATAGGGGCTTGTCGGACATTGAGAGTCTTCCAACCTCCCCCGCGCTTCGCTCCACTACTCAACATTTGGCATGTATCTGGACAGCGGTTGCTACATTCAGACTGATCGAATGTGTTGAATGTGTTAGGACCATTACCAGCTCCAAATGCATTTGAAACGTTGTGCAGTGGAACGAGGCCCTAACTCTTGACGGTTAAAGGGCCTCGCTGCACCACTCACCAAATGCACAAACGACAAAAGTGAAAGACGTGTATCTCGCCATGATGTTGGTGTACATTCATTCTCATTTTATGCATTTGGTGAGTGGTGCGGGGAGGCCCAAACTCTCTATTCTGCTAAGCGCTTTGGGAGAAGATGAGGACAACGAAAAAATAAATAACGGCGGATGCGGCATGTTTTGAAACCCTAAAGGCAAAAGAAACCCACGATGGCAAAGAAACCACGCACACCTGCGGCGCACGTAGTGCCAACCAGCGTTGATAGTCCGCTTGATACCTGTGATCGGTACTAGCAGGGTCCTTGGCCAACACGGGTGTGAGTGTGAGTGTGAGTGTGAGTGGGTTGTGTGCTGTGTGGGAGAGTGTTGGCCTTAGACACTGCTGTTATTCGGTTGGGGGTGGGGGACGATGAAAAGGGAGGCGCAGCTACTGGCAAAATGCTCGGTCTTCGCGTTAGCCGGACCCCCACCGGCGGCCCCACCCCATTCTTGACCACCATGGTTGGGGCGGGGGGGCAATATGCATCCCCTCTGATGGCTGGAGGGAGACAACAAAGCTATGTTTGCAAGGGTACCCTGTATAAGCCTTAGGAGTAGTGGCAGGTAGGTAGTGAAGTTGAATTGAAAGAATTTGAAAGATGATGAAAGATTTGAGAGAAGAAAATAGTGCAGTTTAAGAGCAATTTCGGTCCAAAAGTATCCGTTGGGGATTTTCTTTTTCTTTTGGTTTCCCCCTCTGACACCACGGCCAACCCCTGTAAATAAATACGACACCCGGTCTGACACCACGGCCTTCGGTACTTCCGTCGCCTTTTCAAACTCGGCGCGGTTTTCGGTTTTCTTTGCCGACGACATGTGTTTTGTTTTTGCCCATTCGATACTCAAAGGTGACATGAACGTACTTACCTCAAGAAAAATATACGACATCTGGATCCCAACTTAAGGTGCACTCTGGCTCTCAAAATAACGGTGGTCATAGGCGGGGACTCTCTGTAAATATGACACCCGTCTGACAACACGGGGACTCTCTGTAAACATGACACCCGGTCTGACACAACGGCCCATGGTTTTCTTCGTCTACGCATGTTTTTTCCCCATTCGGTACTCAAAGGTGACATGGGGCCTCCCTCCACTACTCTTAGACTCCCGAGGTTTTGAGAGTAACGTCTCGCTCCACTTACTCTAGACTGGAACTCGTGACAACACCCTAAGCTTCGAGAGCTGTCCGAAAGCCACAACTCTCGAAGGGCACTCACTTGCGATTTGTATAGAGTTCACAGCCTGCAACGCTCAGGTTTTCTAGCATCCTCCCTCCTACCCCCGCTCCGGCCTCTTTTTTCGCGTATGTGCCTCCTGGCCCGACCATCAGAAAGAGCTGGCGCTGTCATCTAGCGGTGTAGAAGGGCTGTGTCATGTAGCACTGACAAATTTGTGAGTGCTTCTTTTGTTCTTGAGTCTGGCGTAAGTGGAGCGACGCTTCTTTTTTCAAGAGTTCTAGTAGACCTCTGACAGCTCTAGAAGCACTCACAATTTTTTTCGTGAGTCTAGTGTAGTGGAGCGAGACCCATGAACGTACTTACCTCAAGAAAAATATATGACATCTGGATCCCAACTTAAGGTGCACTCTGGCGCTCAAAATAGCGGTGGTCATAGGCGAGGACTCTCTGATTTTGGTGCGTGGTGCCTCTGACAACTCTTAAAAAAATAAAAATCCCTTTTCTTTGAGGGTAAGGGCCTCTCCCCACTACACAACACTCTACATGCATTTGGACGTTTTTTGAACCAGGTGCATTCAGACGAGTCCACCCTTCGGGGTACAAAAAGCATCCACATGCATGTAGAACGTTGTGTAGTGGAGTGACGCCCTAAGCAGAGCAATCCCTACTCTCCAAAGGTGCAAAATGAGACTGAATCTTGCACTAGAACGTGGAAAGAAATACACCACCCTTTTTTTTTTTTTTTTGGCATTTTTTTTTTTTTAATAACTAATCTAATATATTCTTCTCTCAATCTATCTACCTATATTATTCCGCATCTATCTCATCCTCTGGCTACTCTACTTTAAAGTACGGGGGAACACCAACCAAACCTGCAACGCTCCCCAGCCCACGGGGTAGTCTTTCGTGCGTGTGAATAGTAGAGCAGCCGCTGGAGCGAGGCCCTTACTCCCAAAGAATGTGATTTTGAGTGTAGTGCAGTGAGACCCTCACGACAACCCAGGTCGTGACTCGCGAGCAAGCTCCAGTACTGGCCCAGTTAAGTCATGACAGGCTTTCGTGGATGTCCATCCACGATTGTTGTTTCAAAACTTTCATTGTTAAATAACTTAAATTCATTCATTATTTAAAAAATGCGTTCAGACTCTTCAGAGTCGTCAGACTCCCGCAGACGCAGACGCGTCACACAGACCTGGTGGTTGACTCAGATATTAATCCATCATCAAAAATGTTGAGAGATTTTTTGAGAGATTTTTGGAGAGATGTTTTGACAGATCACTCTGCCCTCTGCAGTGTCTGCACTCTGCTTCCGGATGTTGCCCAAATATTTACAATGGAAATGCCTGCTCTTGCAGCAGCTGCGGATGGCCACAGGCACATCATCACCTGGTCCTGTAACACCCCCCTTAAACCCCCTTTGTGATTTACCTACAGTGCACTTTCTGACACTGAAAGATACCTGCTCCGCGTCCACCGGTTCTATCAGCTCTGACACGACACGGTGACACCCCTTTCCGTGTCCTCATTTCCCTCCATACCTTCCCACTCTAGTCTTGCAGCGCAAATGCCTGCCGTTGTGCCGGTTGCGGACATCACAGGCACCCTTCCCTCCTTTTTGCCGTTTATTTTTAGAAAGGGTGACAGCCTTACGATATCATCATGGAGCTGACTGGCCCAAGGTACTTCAGAATTATCGTTATTGTATGTCCGCTCATCTGGATTCGAACTCGGGTCTGTATTTTTTCAGGAGTTCATGGGTGTACCATCTGAGCTCGGCCCGTCGGTTTGTCGCAGCTACGCCCTCGCCCTGGCATTTCCTCCGATGCACTTTTTGACCCTTCAAAAAAAATCCTTCTCCTCCGCAGCAGCGATCAGCAGTGATACTGATTTTTTAATCGTCACTTCCCGTCATTCCGTCCCACAACACTATGCTTGCAGCCGTAATGCCCGCTGTAATGCCCGCTGTAATGCCCGCTGTTGTGCCGGTTGCCGACATCACAGGCCCACCATCGCCCATCCCCGTGACACCCTTTAATTTTTCTGTACTGCACTTATTGACCCTGAAGTTGCTTCTCCTCCACCCCGCTGACCTCAGCTGTAATACCAATTTTGAATTTTCGCATCTGCCGTTCTACCCGCTGCAGACGTCACGGGTGAAACCATCGACTGTCCCGGTAACACCCTTTGGGATTTTCCTACAGTGCACTTTTTCACCCTGAGCCGGTAACACCCTTTGGGATTTTCCTACAGTGAACTTTTTCACCCTGAGCCGGTAACACCCTTTGGGATTTTCCTACAGTGGACTTTTTCACCCTGACGTTCGTCCTCCCCAGCGACCACCGCAATCCACCGTAATACCACTTTTCACTTTTCACGTCTGCTGTTCTACCAGTTGCAACATCACAGGCCAACCATCAGGTGTTTACTACCGTCTTCACCAGAATAGAACGCGTGGTCATTATATAGACGTATCTGGGGCAGTTTTCTGTCTAGATGGAGCGATAATGACCGAGCGTTCTATTCGGGTGAAGACAGTAGTAAACACCCTCGGATTTTCCTACAGAACACTGTTTTTTTTACCCCGACGCTCCTCCTTCGCCACCGTAATCCGCTGTTATACCACTTTTTGCGTCCACTGTTGTACCGGTGGCAAGTTGCAACATCACAGCCCAACCATCAACTGTGCCACTGACACAGTGACACTCTCTACGGTGCACTTTTTCACCATGACGTTCCTCCTCCCCATCCACCACCGCAATCAGCCGTAATACGGAATACCACTTTTCACATCTGCTGTTTTACCAGTTACAACATCACAGGCCAACCATCAGCCATCAGTAACATCCTTTGTGATATTTTCCCACAGTGAACTTTTTGACCCTGAGGTTCCTTCTCCTTCACCACCGTAATCCACTGTAAAATACCACTTGTGACTTTTCGCATCTGCTGTTGTGCCAGTTGCAAGTTGCAACATCACAGCCGCACCATCAACTGTGCCACTAGCACCCTCTACACTGTCTACAGGACACTTTTTTACCCTGATGTTCCTCCTCTCTCCTTCTCTCTCCTTCACCGCCGTAATCCGCCGTAATACCGCTTTTCACGACCGTTGTTGTACCAGTTGCAACATCACAGGCCAACCGTCAACTGTCCAAGTAACACCCTTTGCAATTTTCCTACAGTGCACTTTTTGACCCTGATGTCCTTCTCCTTCACCACTCCCATCAGCAGTAATACTTTTTCGATCAGCAGTAATACTTCTTCGATCAGCAGTAATACTTCTTCGATCAGCAGTAATACTTCTTCGATCAGCAGTAAATACTTCTTCCATCAGCAGTAGTACTTCTTCGATCAGCAGTAATACTTCTTCGATCAGCAGTAATACTTTTGTGAAACAACTACGCTGGGGGCCACAGTTTGAGTTTCCAGTGGGCAGAGAAAACAGGGGTGACAATGCTTTTCACGTCCTCATCCTGCCGCTCCAATCCTTCAGACTATCCCCACAGCAGAAATGTCAGTGGTTCCGCCAGTAGCAGACGTCACAGGCCAACCATCGACCGTAACGGTAAAGGCCTTCAAGTAGTCTACACTGCACTTTTTGAGCCTGAACTTCCTTCTCGAGCGCCATTGCGATCAATCGTAATACTGCTCCTCGCGTCCTCATCTCCCTCCCGCTCTAGCCTCGTAGAGCTGGGATAGTTAAGTCCATGCATCAGTCGGTTGAGTCGCTCCCCGGCGGAAGGCGCCTTCACCACCCGAGGGTTATTCAAGGGCGGCGTGGCAGGCCTCCCGGAACCCGAGATACGCCGTACGAATGCTTTCTGTTGGTCTACAAATTGTCGGAGGCCTTTCCCCACCCCCAGAACGAAATTTCCAGGGGCCACCTCCTCGAAATTCGCGACACCAGCAACTGATATGTGGAGGTTGTTGATCACATAGAGCCCTCCATCCTCATCGTCCCCAACGTACAGTGGAAAGGATCCTGAACCATCCCTTGCTGCAAACAGACGCATCTTCGTCGAGTCATAAAGCGCAAAGGCAAACCGACCCCTCAGAAACCGCAACATGTTCTCCGGATTCAAATGCTCATACATCCGCAACACTAACTCTGCTTCCAGTGTGTGGCGACTGCCAACCACAACCCTGAATGCCAGGAATTTCAACACATAACCGACCAACCAACCAATCGACAAACCAACCAACCGACAAACAAACATGCTCTCAATAACGACAGAAAAAAGGAGCGTAGCTACCGTAGCATCTTTTGAGGTTTTCCGTTGGATTTTCCATCTTTGGTGTCAATGTCAGGCTGCCCCTCGTTTCTTCTACTAGATGCCTCCTACACCGGCAACCGGCCAACCAACCAACCAACCAACCAACGAAACAAACAAACAAACAAACAAACAAACAAACATGCTCTCAAGAGTCTCAACACATTTATAATTGAGGGACTGACCGGCTCCAGATAATTGAAGAATTTAATTCGTTTGGTTCCGTCTGGATTCGAACACAGGTCTAAATTTCAACAATTCATGGGTGTACCAACTGAGTCAGGTTGCAAGGTTTCTGGCTTTACCCTCCCGACTTCAAAGGCGTTGATGGAAGGAAAGTCTTGCCACCTCGTACCCACACCAGCACTTTCCCAAATGCATCTGACTGCAATTACGGCCTGTGACCGGAATGAACTTGACTGCAATCACGTTCAGAGCTTAGTGGAAAATGTCCTAGTGTGAGTATGCCCTTAGTATGTATGCAAGAGAGGTTCTGGGCCCTTATGCCACATGGTCATCTCTTCTGATCGCTAGTTTCATCTAGACCCACCGTTCCTGCCGTCTCGCCCGAATAGAACGCCCGGTCATTATCACTGCATGTGGACAGACAGTTGCCCCAAATAAAGCTGTAATGACCCGGCAGGGCCGGCATTCAATTCAGGTGAAGACTGTAGTCTCCGGTGTTATATTTTCGACCTGCATTCAGACTTCACGGTGTACTTCTGGGATGCCTGACATCCTGCCTCCAGGGACCATGTTAGAGTCCTTGGTGGAAATCTTAGGTTGTAGGATTCCGGGTCTTTACAACCCTTCAGCGACTTGCCGCGGCTCTTGCGGGCAGTATCTGCTCCATCTACTGCCGCTGAACAGCTTCAGCCTGCAGCGTGGCTGAACCATTGGACGACTGCAAATGGGTGCAAATAGCCCCCCACGGCTGCAAATGGCCTCAAATGGCTGCAAAGAGCTGGAGGCTATAGATTGGCAGCTCAAATGGCTGCAAACAGCTAGTGGAGAAGCCTTTTTTTTTTTTTGGCACCGGAAAACGGCTGCAATCAGCTGGTACAGTAGACGATCACCAGCCGCAAATGGCTGGACATGGCTGGAAACAGCTCCAAACAACTGCAATCGCCTGGCGCAGCAGCAAACAAACAGCTACAAACAGCTGGTGGAGTGACAAACCAACAACTGGACACGGCTGTAAGCACCGGCAGATGGCTGCAGACAGCTGCAAATCCCCGCAGAAGGCTGCAAATGGCTGCAGATGGCGGCGAAAAGCTGCAGAAAGCTGTAAACAGCTAAACGGCTGCCCACAGCTGCCAACGGCTTCAATCAGCTGCAACAGCTGCAAACAACTGCAATTGGCTGCAAACGGCTGCCAAAAACGGCTGCAAACGGTCGCCAACAGCTGCAATCAGCTGCAAACGGCTGCAAACGGCTGCAAACGGCTGCAAACGGCTGCAAACGGCTGCAAACGGATGCAAACGGATGCAAACGGCTGCAAATGGCTGCAGACAACGGCTGACATCTGCAGATGGCTGCAGACGGCTACAGATGGCTGCAAACAGATGCAAACAGCTCCAAACGGCTGCAGACGGCTACAAAAAGCTGCAAAGGGTTGTCAGTGTCTGCCAATGGCTGCAATCATCTGCAAAGAGCCGCAATCGGCTGCAATTGACTGCAATTGCCTGCAATCAGCTGCAACTGCCATAATCAGCTGCAACTGCTGCAATCAGCTGCAAATGGCTGCAGATCACTGCAACCGGCTGCAAACGCTGCCGATGGTTGCTGACGGCTGGAAACGGCTGGAAACAGCTGCAATTGCCTGTAGATAGCTGCAAATGGCTGCAAACGGTTGCAAACTGCTGCAAAAACCTGGTGACGGAGCAGATCAACAGCTGCAAACTGGCTGCAAACGGCTGCAAACGGCTGCAAACGGCTGCAAACGGCTGCAAACGGCTGCAAACGGCTGCAAACGGCTGCAAACGGCTGCAAATGGTTGCAAATGGTTGCAAATGGCTGCAAACAGCTGGTGAAGGAGCAGATCAACACAGCTGCAAACGACTGGATGCAGCTGGCTGAGCAGCGAAAAAACAGTTGAAAATGACTGCTGGACCAGATTATGACGTGCTGCAAACCGCTGCGCAATTTTCAAACTTATAGATGGGTTTAGCAAACCGGCACATAATATCTTCGTCACCGGAACCCAATCTATTTGAGATCGACTTCGTAGCCCGTTGCCAGTGCATCCATTCACCTTCACCAATCAATCATGTCACGAGTGTCTTCCAGAAGTTGATGATAATACTCAAACGCCGGAAAAGAGCTACATCGATCAAAACTTCAAAAGAAGAGAAGAAAAGGCAATGGCCTTGAGATATCAGCATTGAACGGACCGGTCCAGGTAATTCAGAATTATTTCATTCTATTTCATTGTTAGAGTTCATGAAGCTAGATGGCACTTTGAACTTGCGACTGTATTTGTTCTACTATTCGACAGTTTATGGGTGTACCAACTATGGGAAACTACACGTAAGACTTTAGGCCTCCGCTGTTTATCAGTCCTTACTGTGCATGAATACTTCGCAGTCCCACTACCGTCTTCCCCCAGAGACACTCTCATGCACTTGGTCTGGAGGCAGGTCCAGGTACTTGCACTTGCTGCAGTTGTGGGTACCTAAATGGTAGGATTCCTGAATTCCGACTGAAGAACGTCGCACTTGGACCCCCTTCGGTGCTGTGAGAGACTCTCTCTCATTGACTTGGTCTGGCTGCAGGTTCAGGTACTTGCGCTTGCCGCAGTTGTGGGTACTGCGCTAAGGTATGAGAGTAGCGCTTCTGTCTTTCTCCGAATATAGCACAAGCTCATTATCACTGTATTTGGGCCAGCTTACTATAGACACAGTGATAATGGACGTATGTTCTACTCAGGGGAAGACGGTAGGCTGTCAGTAGATAGTGAGGTACAACCGTCTTCACCTGCGAAGAGAACGCGCAGTCATTATAGCTGTATTTAGGGGAACTTTGGCGTTAGATACAGCGATAACGACCTTGAGTTCTATCACGGGAAGATGGTAGGCGGCGACTCGGCAGGGTTGAAGGCTGGTATAGAAGTAGAGGACAGAGGTTGTTTCTTTAAACCGCCAGTACACGGCCCCAGCCTTGCAGAAAAAGCAACTCGTCGTCACTGCACTGTCAAAATGGCGGTATTCAAAGTGGAGCGCCTCCAGACCCGGGTGTACTGGTGGTTTAAGGCGGTTCATGGTTGTTGATTCTTGGTGTTGCGGTGAAGGCATACAATTCAGACAGTGATAACACTTATGAGGGGAGATGCGTACGAGGCAGAAGGAAGGGAGGGGTTTGAATACTCTCTCTCTCTCTCTCTCTCTCTCTCTCTCTCTCTCTCTCTCTCTCTCTCTCTCTCTCTCTCTCTCTCTCTCT